TCTTCCTCACATTCATCTTCCAGGATTTAGGAATCAACTAAGACAATGTTCACAACATCTTTCTCCTTAGTGCATCAATCAAGATCGAGGAAGCAATGAAGACGAAGCTCACACCAATCAGCATGGCAGTCACAAATTGTCAAAATCAAAAGCAGAAAAAAAAAGAAATTCAAAAAAAAAGTGAAAGCCTGCTAAAAGTTAGGGCATCCTGATGGATCGAAAAAAATTAAAAAGAATTCAAAAAAATCGGTCCATATAAAAATAAGGGATTAAAAATAATAAATTGGAAAACAATCTAGTGACTACCATTTCAAGAATCATCAAGGCTTCTCATCAATTCTTGGATCTTATCAATGCTTGGATTTTATCAAAGATTTTTCATCGGTGTTTGAATCTTATTAGTGCTTGGATCTTGTCAATGCTTTTCATTGGCGCTTGGATCTTTATCTACGCTTCTCATCATCTACGTGACTATGAACTTTCTCTTGAGGGTTAAACGCATCAATTAGATTAATTGGACTTAGGATTAAAGAACATCAAGGAGATTGGGGCAGGGTAAATAAATTTTGAGCCTTATATCTTTTGTTTCTTAAACCATGATTCAAATGTTGGGGCAGTACATACCAAGTTCATCCTACTGCACGTAGGATCCGAATTCTTCAAGCAACCTCGAGTATAAATCTTTTCAAGCTTCGGATACTTGGGGAAACCTATGTTGAGTTCATGGTGAAGTCTAAAGTTATTTCTGAGGGTATTTCCTCCAGATCCTGGAGATTGAGGGGGCACATCTTTTCAAAATTCGAATGTTGGGGAAAACTACTGCGAGGCTCGATCAAAAGGAGTTGATTCAAAATGGTTCTATCAAAGCCAAGCATTTTCAAGAATCTGTTAATCAGGGGCATAATACAAAATATTGGGGTCATCCACATTATGATCAAACTGTTTCCAAGCTCATATTAAAGAGAATCTCCTCCAAGACCCTACCCACAAATTAAAAAGAAACATTCCACACAGGGGAAAGCTCTCCACACACTTTCACAACCTCCATTGAGTCTTTCTTCTACATCAGCGGTCTTCAAATTTAAATCGAGTATCAGGGAATCATACAACCACAACATTATACCATCATGTGACAAGCAACATTGTTCCATAACCAAACCTCTATGCTCTAATCATCCACGACCCATCACGGGGGCATCATTCAAAAAGCATTCAAGTTATAATCATAAAGCATAAGGCTGCATAAACCATGCATTAGGGCTCTTCTATCCAAAACCAGGATATACTTATCATCTCATCCATCTGATGAAATCTGATAGCATGGGTCGAGCATACCTCAAAAGGCCCAATTACGCATTCACATTTCAAAATCCAACATCCATTTACACATTATCCAAGTCATTCATCACATCACATACATCAATCAATAATTACACATCATACATCACATATGGCATTCCCCGACACCCACTATGAACAAAGTCGGTATCTTAGGGCCCTCCAATTAATTCTTACCTCGGTTAGAAACAAATAAGCAGCAAAATTTGTTCTCATCTAAGTTTTAGTTAACTAAGATATGGATCACTCAAAATAACTTCCTTTATATTCAAACATATTGTGTCAGTCTCCATGCGACAATGTGTGAATTATTCTACATATTGTGTCAGTCTCCATGCAACGATACGTTATCCCTTTGCGATCTAACTCATTGTGTCAGACTCTGAGCAACAATGTTACGAAAGCAGCAATTCCACCCATTGTGTCAGCCTCTATGCAACAATGTCCAAAATTTTCAAATTAACTTATTGTGTCAGTCTCCACACAGCAATGTGTTTCTTTCTTAGCTCGTTGTGTCAGACCCCAGGCAGCAATGTTACGAAGTCAACAATTCCACCTGTTGTGTCAGTCTCTATGCAACAATATATGAATTTCCTACATATAACTTATTGTGTCAGTCTCCATGCAGCGATATGTTTTTCCTTTGCGATTTAGCTCATTGTGTCAGACTCCATGCAACAATGTTGTGAAATCCACAATTCCACTCATTGTGCCAGTCTCTATGCGACAATGTGTGAAATTTTCTATATTTAACTTATTGTGTCAGTCTACATGCAACAATATGTTCTTTCTTCACGATCTAGCTCATTGTGTCAGACTCCAGGCAGCAATGTTGCGAAAGCAGCAATTCCACCCATTGTGTTAGCCTCTATGCAACAATGTCTAAAATTTTCAAATTAACTTATTGTGTTAGTCTCCATGCAGCAATGTGTTCCTTTCTTAGCTCGTTGTGTCAGACCCCAGGCAGCAATGTTGCAACGTCGAAAATTCCACCCGTTGTGTCAGTCTCTATGCAACAATGTGTGAATTTTCTACATATAACTTATTGTGTCAGTCTCTATGCAGTGATATATTTTCCTTTGCGATCTAGCTCATTGTGTCAGACTCCAAGCAACAATGTTGTGAAATTAGCAATTCCACTCATTGTTCAGTCTCTATGCGACAATGTGTCAAATTTTCTATATTTAACTTATTGTGTCAGTCTCCATGCAACAATATGTTCTTTCTTCGCGATCTAGCTCATTGTGTCAGACTCTAGGCAGCAATGTTGCGAAATCAGCAATTACATCCATTGTGTCAGTCTCCATGTGACAATGTGTGGAATTTTCTATATTTATCTTTTTATGTCATCCTCCACGCAGCAATATGTTCTTTCTTCGCGATCCAGCTCATTGTGTCAGACTCCAGGCAACAATGTTGCGAAATCAGCAATTTCACTCATTGTGTCAGTCTATATGCAACAATGTGTGAAATTTTCTATATTTAAATTATTGTATTAGTCTCCACACATCAGTGTATTCCTTCCTATGCAAAATAGTTCGTTGTGTCAGGCTCCATGCAGCAATATACAGAATCTACAGTTTAATCCATTATGTCAGTCTCCATGCAACAATGTGTTTCCCTATCTACAATATAATCCATTGCATCAGTCTCCATGCAGCGATGTCATTATCAAATTCCTTCCATTGCGTTGGTCTCCATGCAAAACCGCTTTTACCAGGTTTTGCCTACTACATCAATCTCCGTGCCACAATATTTTTATCAAGCTTTTTTCGCGGTATAATCCATTGCGTCGGTCTTCAGGCAGTAATGTCACCATCAGAGTTTCTGCCTTGACATAACTCATTGCATCAGTCTCAATGCAGCATTGTTTGTTATCAGTTTTTCCTGCGATATAACTCTTTGCATCAGTCTCCATGTAACATTTCATAATCCAACTTTGTTTTATCCATCCCCTAGGTTGTGATGAATAAACAAAATCAAATCAAAAGCTGATATATTAGTCTCCAATCATTAGTAAGTTAGTTTTTCAAACTTGTATCATTTACCTCCTAGGTTATGGTAAATAGACAAAAATATACAATCTCTCTTAGATATTGACGAGTTATCCACATCGTCGTATCTAATTTAAATCAAAACTTTGGTTCAAACACTGGTAAGATGATGCATCATCATCTATGCCTACTCTTCATACCCATGGGAACATTGTACGGTGTATCATTATAATCTTTCAACTTGTGTTGTTTACCTCCTAGGTCATGGTAAATACGATAAAAAAATTACGATCTCTTTTCTAGGTATTGGCGAGTTATCCGCGTCCTTATATCTAGGTCAAACTTACCCTTCATTCATATCTCTTTATTTAAACTCTGGTAGGATGATACTTCATCACCCTTGCCTATTTCTTTGAGCTCTGGGGTATGCTATATTAATGTATCCTTGTTTAAAAAAATCTTTGGTCAAATTTTGGGGTCTTCCATTATTTAATAACCCTCTGATTTGAACGTGTGAGACCTGTGAATTCTCGCATCATTCAATCAAAGAGTGATTAAATAGGGGCAGCTGTCATACCCTAAATTTGCCCTACCCCTTATATTATAGTTTTCTCTTTAAATATATCACATTGTATAATCTTTATTTCTAAGGGGGTGTAAAATATCAGAGAGGGGTGAATAAGAGAATTTCGTTTTGGGTTAAAAGGGCCTAAATAGACTGGTACAATGGTCCAATTCAGTTTTTTAATTTATTTTGAAAAAAAATGTTTTGTTAATAACATTATTATTATCATTATTATTACTATTATTTTATTATAATAATTATTAATGATTGTACTAGTTTTAAAAAAAACATTTACTTAATAAATTTAATTAAGAAATTGATTTCTGTTTTATTGATTCAAAAAGAGGTGCTGATAAAAGGTCTTCTTCTTTCAAAACCCAAATCCAGATCGAAATGTTTTGTTTGAAGACCAAAATAAAACAGGCTCAATTCAAACAAAAAACCCTTAGGCCCATTTCAGTTTCTGTTTAGTTAAATAATCTATTTTATTTAAGAGAAAAAAATTTGGTTAAAAATGAACCATCCAGGCCCATTTCGCCCAGCCCAAATTCAACCAGTCCAAAACAAATGATTTTGTATGGCCCATAACCAAACAAACAGCTACTGTGCAAATTGGAGAGAGAATAACACACGCCCTTAACTAGTATCATTCAAAACAGATCCTTCTTTTCTGGTGTTTGCATATAGAACAAGATCAATATATTAACACTAATAAAAATTGAATTGTAAATAATCAATACAAAATAAACACTATTACACATAATCAAATTACAATCAAAGAAATTTTTTTAATCCATAAATAACAATCTCATTAAAATACTTCCTAAAATCTCCTAAACACTAAACAACAATTAGGTTATTTCCTAAAGAACCTAATCCTTGGAGCTATAAAACCAAAATTGTTAGTGCTTCGTCACAGGAGAGATAACTGAGCCACCTTATTCACACAATAACCTAAATTTAAAATAATTGTGATACACCTACTCTTATCTCTCTTTCTTACTAACCAGTAAAAAATTATAATTGGTTGTGTTATTGTCTTTGTTTTTTGCAAAGAAGGTAGAAGGAGAAGAAAAACAACAACAGAGTCCAAGTTTTCTTTCTCAATTTATGAATTTCCGAACCTTGTTTTCAAGGTAGAAAAGAAAGGAGGAGAAGGAAATCACAATTGTGCCGAAAAGTTTACAAGCCGCCGTGAAGCACCGAATCCGCCGGTCTCTCCTTCAAAACATGTCACCTTTTTTTTTACCTTTTGAATTTGTTTTTGCAGGAAGAGGAAAAGGGCAACCATCAACGTTGTAAGCAACATCGACATCGCCATAGACCACCGTTTATAACCTTCCAGATCAGAACTCGGATCCACTTTGACCCAGCTGCATGCACGACAGTCCTACTGACCATCACCTCCATCACCACCGCGAGCCGCTGGTGAACCACCTATGGAACCTCCACGAACCGGTATCGCAATCACACTCAAATCTATATATGCCATTCCAATTCGCAAACATATGCCACTACTCAAATTTACCGCAACTCTCAATTTTGTTTTCTTGTATTATTTGTTGATTTTTATTCACGGATGTGTTGGTTTGATGACTGACTGGATGGAAGAAAAATTGGAAAAATAAATGGAAGGGAAAGAAGTATACAAATAAAGATAATTCTAAATTTTTTCGTTGGATTATCTCACCTGATATCATATTCCTCTTGTTATTATTTTAATTTATTTTTCTTTCTAGAAAACCAATCCACATGTTAGAATATTGTGGGTTAATAGCATTCTAAGTTGCTTTAAAAGGGGAGAACGTGTATCAGTAAATGAAAAAGTGGGACAGTCATTTATTTTATTATTATTATCATCAATTATTATTATTAACAATGTTTATCTTTTCAAAAAGAGAGAGAGAGGTATGGTCAGAGACATAAAACAGGCCCTTTCCCATAATTGGCCACATTAGATTTTTGTTTTTGTTTTGTTTTATTTTTTTTAATTTCTATTTTGTTATTCTTCCTATTTTTTTTATATAAATATATGTAAATTGCTAAATTAGTAATTTATTTTATTTGGATTATCCAATTTTATTTAATTAATTAGCAAGGATATAAAAAAGGTACTCTTATTTTATCTAAGTTAATTAGGAACATTTAGATCTGATTGGTTATGTACGCTTTAACTTCTTTCGATTTAAAATTAAATTAATTCAATATTTTACAAAATATTAAAACTCACATAATTCCAAATATTTCATCTGTGAGACACGTGGCCAATATCTGGCCACGTGATGAGGAAGTCTATATCAGACTCTCTTCGCATCCTTCTTAACGAGCAGCACAAAGTCAATATCTGACCACGTGATGAGGAGGCTACATCAGACTCTCTCGCTCTACGTATAAAAATATTCAACCAAACACCAAATCCTTTTTCGCATATTAAATTAATTCAAAATGTTAATTTTTAAAAAGGAACGCAAATATATTTAAATTAACTGCGTACTTGGTCTTACAAACTCCGTTATTCATACTCTTAGACCACGTACGTGGGAAAATTAAAATATTTGCATAATCCATTAAAAACACAAACAAAACCGTGACCTACTTAAGGGTGGTGACTCTATACTTTAAAACCAATTTCAACAAAAGTATTGTAAGGTCTTCAAATGTTGGCATAAATTGTAAAGAAATGGGCCTTACAATACAATGCTCGCGCGCAGATATCATACAATGCTAGTAACTTTTATATTTTGATGATCACAACTTTCATTCAAAATATCTTGCATTGTAGCCCTCCAAATGGAATAACTCTTGAAGCAATCTTGAAGATAACACAAAGATGAACAACTTTGAAGTTCAATACTTTTTGAAATTGTGATCAATTCAATAAGAAAATGGTGATGAATGTCTGTCCACCATATGTTTAATAAAAATTTGCGTGTGAGGCTTCTCTTGTTGGGCAAACTTGTATTCTTAAGCCTTGAGATCCTAACCATCATATCTTCCTCCAGACTGAACCAAATGAAATGGTTCTTGAATAAAAAATGTATAGGAGGATTCAAGCTACAATGTTGATGTTGACACTTTTCAAAATTAAAGCCATTTGAAACCTCAAAAATGAACATGAAGAAATTATGTCTTGTGCATACTTTTTGAAAAACCATTAAGTGCCAAGAATCTTCCAAGCTAAATAACTTTTTCTTCTTTCACTTTTTTGACTTGGACTCACAAGGACAAATTTGAAGAACTTTTCTTCCTCTTTCAAACCATGTAAAGCTTGCATTTTTTTCAATAAAAAATGAAGAAGTTATGAATTTTCAAAGTTTAGTATTATGAATTTCCATACTTAGAAAATTTTCAAATATTAAAATGACTTCTTTGACAAGTTATCCTCAAATTCAACACTTCTCATGATTTTATTCCATTAATGACCATACAACATGAAAATGTGGATGTTGAATTGTATGTTGACCAAAAATCCCCTTGGTCACAGTTGACTTTTGTGGACTTTTTCTCAAATGATTGTTTTACCCCCAATTGATCAATTGAACCACTTCCAATCAAAATTGATGTTCAATCCTTCAACCATAAGTGCTCATAAACATGTTGAGAAGAATGGAATCAAGTCTTTCACAAAAAGTAAGAGATATCCTGATTAAATTCAAAAACCTAGTTTTGGTCCTCTATGCTAAGAGATAATGATCAAGCTTCAAAACCCTAATTCCAAGGATCAAGTTGAGAAATTTCTTGAACAAAGATGTTTCATATGATAATGAGAAGATATTGCTTCACAAATTTGGCCCACACAAGTATCAAACACTTCGTCTGGCCAAAACCCTAATCTCAAGAGATGCATAGGAAAACAGTGATTCAAGAATTAACACTTACAATTTCAAATTTATGGTGAATCAAAGAGACCATTGAGATGTCTTGAGGTATGAGAAACCCTTGTAGTTTGAGATACTTAAAGATTGAGGGCACGAGACCCTTCTTGTATGGATTGTCAACACAATCAACTTTCAATAGCTTGCAGAGGAACTTGGGAGCTGAAATACCTTGATCCTATCACAATGTATGAATGTATATGATGAAACATAAGCCTTTAAAGTTCTAAAACCAAGAGGGTAAATTTTGGGGTGCAACAGGTTTGTTTTCCAATGCGTTAAAACTTAACATTTTCAAAAAGTGTTAGAAAACATAATTTTCTAGAAAATTGGGTTTTTATTGAACAAAATTTTGGAGGGGGTGCGAAAGTTAGCTGATGAACAGGACCACACCAGAGACAGCGACGACAAAGTAGTCGAGTTCCAGGGGCCACATGGCTAAGCCGTGACGGCGATCGAAAAACCATAAGTCACATCTACAGTATGTCGAGTCGGGATAGCGACGGCCGAGGTAAGGAGGGTTCGCGTGGTAATAGGAGCTACTACAGCTTCGGAGCGCATGAGATGCGATAACTCGGCGACGTTGGTGTGAGACAGTGCCTAAGGGGAGTTGCGCAGTGGTTGAGGCAGTACGACCATTGAGGGCATGGAGGTTGTACGGCTACGATTGGCGGTGGCGGCGGGTCGTCTGTGGTCTGGGTAATCAGGGGGTGTTTTCGGAAGTTTCGAGTTCGAGAGTCATTACTGTGATTTTCTTAGTAATTTTTTTGTTAGTGCCCTTTTTGAGTTTTTTTTAGTATTTTTGAGTCAAATTAGCAGCCTATAAAGTTTAGTAGAACAATCACTCATAAAAATTATCATTACTGTAGTTTTGAGTACTTTTGAGTTTTTGTTGAAGTTTCAGGGAATTGTTGTGGAGGGGTTTAGAGTTATTGATAAACTCGGTTGAGCTGTAAAGACTTAAATGCACTCTTTGTCCCCCTAATTTAATGATTTTTAACTTTTAATCTTTCTATTTTAAAAATCAGCATTTTGGTCTCTCAACTTTACATCACTTGGGATTTTGCAGATCCCCCTCCAATTTTGCATACGAGTCATTGATGATTATGATAAGAAATTTGTTTTTGATAATGTGCCAATGTTGACTGGAACAATTTATTAATTTTTAATTTATAAATTAATTATTTAATTAATATTTTGTAATTAATAAATTAATTATTTTTAAATTAATTATTATTTTTTAATTAATAAATTATTTCTTTTAGAAATTAAGTAGCACAAATTTAAAATATATTCTTATTTTGTACCCACAATATTGCAAGATCTCTCCGGCATGTCATATAAACAGTAAAACTAAAAGTACACAAAATAATGTGAGACTTTGTTGACAAACAAAACATATTACCTCATCTCCTTTGCCTCTATTTCCACTGCATGTACAAGCTGCAATGTTTCTTATTCTTTCTGAATTTCCTTGACATGAGTATCATGCATTCAATGCTATAGACTCTTTATCCTTGTCATTTCAAGGATGCTACTTCTTCTTTTCATTGTTCAATTTGCAACTTTTGGTGAAAAAGCTTGCAACTTGATGATTTGGATTTTGGAAACTCTCATTTATTTTTCATCTGTAATATATGTTATCTTCTCATGGTGCTATATACAATGGAGGTTGCGAATAAAATAGGTCAAATATTTCTCATGGTTGTTTCAAAGATGATTTTGTTGCTGCTATAAAGATTTTGTCTTTGTAGTAAAGCAAACCGTTAGAAAACTTGTAACATCGATTGTCCCCTGTATTTTGTTCAGTTTCCTTGACTAATAACAATCCTTCTTTGTCCTTGGCATAACACTGTTGGAGTCTTGTTATGAGATCGGGAATGGGAGAAGATAAGGACAGCAACAAAGTATCAATTGAGCCAACTTTTCTACTAAGTTCATCAGCTACAAGATTCGAAGTGCCAGGTTTGTAAGAAATCTCAAAATTAAAGCCTTGTAATTTTGAGACTCATTTTTGTTGTTCTGGCGTCTGAATCTTTTGGAGAAGCAAATTTCGTAGGCTTTCTTTATCAGTATAATATGGAATGTTTGATCTATCAGATACTAATGCCATTTTTTGTACTGCTTCTATTACAGCAAACATTTCACGAACATAAACCGATGCCGCTTGCATCTGGGGGCACATCTTCTTGCTGAAGAAGGCAATATGATGGCCATCCTGAGACAAGACTGCACCAATGGCTACTCTAGAGGCATCTGTTTCTATAATGAATTTTTTTTAGAGCCAGGACCGGTATGTCGGTCATTTTATTTTTTAACTCTATAAAGGCTAATACAATCTCTGTATTCCACGTGAATTTAGTGGAACACAACAAATTAGTGAGGGGAGCGGCGAGAGTGACATAGTTATGCACAAACTGTCGATAGAATCCAGTGAGTCCCAAAAATCCACAGAGAGTCACGAGAGAACGAGGTGTTGGCCAATCCAAAATGGCTTTCAATTTATCTAGATCCGGTGCTTCACCACCCACCGAAATCTCATGACCAAGATAATCAATTTTGTTAACTGCAAAAACACACATAGATAACTTGACATAAAATGAATTGGAATGTAATAATTCAAACACAACCTACAAATGCCCTAGGTGAGTACTAAAAGTAGGGCTATAAATTAAAATGTCATTAAAGAAAACCAGAACAAAATGCTAAATGTAAGGTCGTAACAAATCATTCATAGCAGACTGAAATGTAAAGGGGGTGTTTGTTAGCCCGAAAGGCATAACAAGAAACTCATAATTCCCGTCAAAAGTACGAAAAGTTGTCTT